TTGATTCTCTTTTTCTCTTAATTAGTTTGGCCTGAGGATAATCTATTTTGTTTATTTTTTCAAAGGACCAGCTCTTGGTTTTCTTGAGTTTTGCTATTGTTTTATTCTTCCCAATATTGTTTATTTCTTCTCTGTTCTTTATTATGTCCCTCCTTCTGCTGACCTTAGGCCTCTTTTGTTCTTCTTTTTCCAGTTTCGATAATTGTGATGTTAGACTGTTCATTTGGGATTGTTCTTCCTTCTTCAAGTGTGCCTGGATCCCTATATACTTTCTTCTTAAGAATGCTTTTGTTGCGTCCCACAGAAGTTGGGGCTTTGTGTTTTTGTTGTCATTTGTTTCTATATATTCCTTGATCTCTATTTTGATTTGTTCATTGATCCATTGATTATTTAGTAGCATGTTGTTAAGCCTCCATGTGTTTGTGAGCCTTTTTGTTTTCTTTGTAGAATTTATTTCTACTTTCATACCTTTGTGGTCTGAAAAATTGGTTGGTAGAATTTCAATATTGTGGAATTTACTGAGGCTCTTTTTGTGAGCTAGTATGTGGTCTATTCTGGAGAATGTTCCATGTGCACTTGAGAAGAATGTATATCCTGTTGCTTTTGGATGTAAAGTTCTATAGATGTCTATTAGGTCCATCTGTTCTAGTGTGTTGTTCAGTGCCTGTGTGTCTTTACTTATTTTCTGCCCGGTGGATCTATCCTTTGGGGTGAGTGGTGTGTTGAAGTCTCCTACAATGAATGCATTGCAGTCTATTTCCCTCTTTAGTTCTGTTAGTATTTGCTTCACATATGCTGGTGCTCCTGTATTGGGTGCATATATATTTAGAATGGTTATATCCTCTTGTTGGACTGAGCCCTTTATCATTATGTAGTGGCCTTCTTTATCTCTTGTTACTTTCTTTGTTTTGAAGTCTATTTTGTCTGATATTAGTACTGCAACCCCTGCTTTCTTCTCACTGTTGTTTGCCTGAAATATGTTTTTCCATCCCTTGACTTTTAGTCTATGCTTATCTTTGGGTTTAAGGTGAGTTTCTTGTAAGCAGCATATAGATGGGTCTTGCTTTTTTATCCATTCTATTACTCTATGTCTTTTGATTGGTGCATTAAGTCCATTTACATTTAGGGTGACTATTGAAAGATATGTACTTATTGCCATTGCAGGCTTTAGATTCGTGGTTACCAAAGGTTCAAGGTTAGCTTCTTTAGTATCTTACTGCCTAACTTAGCTCGCTTATTGAGCTGTTATATACACTGTCTGGAGAGTCTTTTCTTCTCTCCCTTCTTATTCCTCCTCCTCCATTCTTCATATGTTGTGTGTTTTGTTCTGTGCTCTTTTTAGGGGTGCTCCCATCTAGAGCAGTCCCTGTAGGATGCCCTGTAGAGGTGGTTTGTGGGAAGCAAATTCCCTCAGCTTTTGCTTGTCTGGGAATTGTTTAATCCCACCATCATATTTAAATGATAGTCGTGCTGGATACAGTATCCTTGGTTCAAGGCCCTTCTGTTTCATTGCATTAAGTATATCATGCCATTCTCTTCTGGCCTGTAGGGTTTCTGTCAAGAAGTCTGATGATAGCCTGATGGGTTTTCCTTTATAGGTGATCTTTTTCTCTCTAGCTGCCTTTAAAACTCTTTCCTTGTCCTTGATCTTTGCCATTTTAATTATTATGTGTCTTGGTGTTGTCCTCCTTGTATCCTTTCTGTTGGGGGTTCTGTGTATTTCCGTGGTCTGTTCTATTATTTCCTCCCCGAGTTTGGGGAAGTTTTCAGCAATTATTTCTTCAAAGACACTTTCTATCCCTTTTCTTCTCTCTTCTTCTTCTGTTACCCCTATAATACAGATATTGTTCCTTTTGGATTGGTCACACAGCTCTCTTAGTATTGTTTCATTCCTGTTGATCATTTTATCTCTCTCTATGTCAGCTTCTATGCGTTCCTGTTCTCTAATTTCTATTCCTTCAGTGGCCTCTTGCATCTTATCCATTCTGCTTTTAAATCCTTCCAGGGTTTCTTTCACTTCTGTAATCTCCTTCCTGGCATCTGTGATCTCCCTCCGGACTTCATCCCATTCCTCTTGCATTTTTCTCTGCATCTCCGTCTGCATTTTCATGATTTTTATTTTGAATTCCTGTTCAGCAAGACTGATTAGGTCTGTATCCTTCTCAGGTGTTGACTCTGTGATCTTTGTCTGCCTGTAGTTTTGCCTTTTCATGGTGATAGAGATAGTTTGCCGAGCTGGTACGAGTGACGGCTGGAAGAGCTTTCCTTCTTTTTGGTTTGTGGCCTTTCTCTCCTGGGAGAACAGTGATCTCTAGTGGCTTTTGCTCGGTTGCTGCACACAGACAGGGCTTCTGCTTCCTGCTGGCTGCTATGGAGTTTATCTCTGCTGTTGCTCTGGGCATGGCCTGGCTCGGGCTGCTGTTCCAAAATGGTGGAGCCCCATTGGAGGGGGAGAGGCTGGGAGACTATTTATTTCCATAAGGGGCCTCCATGCTCCCTGCTGCCCAGGAGGTTAGAGTGCCCAGAGATCCCCAGATCCCCTGCCTCTGGACTAAGAGTCCTGCCCTTCCCCTTTAAGACTTCCAAAAGCACTCAACAACCAAAACAACAACAACAACAACAAAAATTAAATAAATAATTTTAAAAAATGCTCGCTTTTCTTTGTCCTCAGGCTTCGGCATCAGGCACCTGCTCACTGGTCTTGCTGCCCTGTTTCCCTAGTATTGGGGTCCCTGTCCCTTTAAGACTTCCAAAAGCACTCGCCAAAAAAAAGAGAGAAAAAAACAAATGGCCACTCCCATTTCTTTGTTCTCCAGCATTGTCCTCAGGCACCCGCTCACCGGTCCTGCTGCCCTGTTTCCCCAGTATCTTGGACCCCGCGCATGCACTGTGTCTGTGCTCTGGTCCAGAATCCTGGGGCTGGGTGTTCAGCAGTCCTGGGCTCTCTTTCCCTCCCTGCTGACTCCTCTCCACCTGCCAGGGGCTGGGGGGAGGGGTGGTTGGGTCCCGCCTGGCCAGGGCTTGTATCTTACCCCCTTCGCAATGTGCTGGGTTCTCGTAGGTGTGAATGTGGTCTGGATGTTGTCATGTGTCCTCTGGTCTCTATTTTAGGAAGGGTTGTCTTTGTTATATTTTCATAGATATATGTGGTTTTGGGAGGAAATTTCCACTGCTTTACTCATGCCCCCATCTTGGCTCCACCCTCAAGATAAGATTTTTAAAAGCTGTGTTTTTATTGCATCACTAATCATCATGATATTAAATACAAAAGGGCACATCCTAACAATTAGGCATTGCTCACATCTCTAACACAAAGAACTCAATTTCTTCACACAAGAAGTACTAGTACATGCTTTTTTGATATTCTTCTAAATACAATTTTTTTGTGTAATTGTGCATTTAACTGTAATATATATTCTCATGCTTTTAATTAAAACTTGCCATGCTAAGCACACATTCTGTTCTCTATTTTTCATTTTAAAATATTTTTTAGAGACCATGTTATCATCAATAACTTCATCAATGTTTGTTATCAATGAATTGTCATGCCTGGATCATTTAGCTCCCTTCTGAAGGGTTTGGACTTCTTTCCTGCTATAATGGAAAGAGTTGTAATAATTTTCTTTGTCCTTGTAGTGAGTTTATCTGTAGAAAATGGAATCATTGGATCAACGTCTATGTGCTGTTATGATATTATATGTGTTGAAAGTCACTCCCTAAGAAATTAAACCCACTTAAATTGCTACCAATAATGTGTGGGATTGACTGTTGCCCACAGTTTGTCAGCAATATATGTCAACAGTCTTTTATTGTAAAGATTACTCTATTCAACATAAGTGAAAATGATAATCTAATTGAAAGTTTAATTTGAATATATTTAACTATGAATGAAATTGAACATCTTTCTACATGAGCATGTTATTTATAATTGGTTCTTTTGCACATTATTCATTTTTGTGTGTGTGTTTTTAAGATTGCAGAGTGAAATCCATTGATCCTTGAAAACTATGCTTTTATCTGGAATGTGAGTTGTAAGTATATTTTACCAGTTTGGCACTAAAATTTGTTATGGACTATGCTACTGTTTGGAGAATATAAAGGTGCATAAACAAGGCATCCACTGTTTGGCACATAGTCAGACATTAATAAATATTAATTCTCTTTTTATTTCTATCTTTTCTTACTTGAAATCAGAGTACATGATGGTCAAAATAAATATCACAAGAATTCTACTGAAAGTTTTAGTGATGATTTGGAGCTTTCTGAGCTCATCTCTCAACCCCTGGTGCTTAACAGTGAACCATAAATTTAAAAGATTGTTCTGATTTACAGCAAATTTTCTTCCTGTATTTCTCCTTTATTTTAGTCTCAATGACTCAATGCATTAATAAAGCATGTTGAAGGACTCAGAAAAACAATGAATGGGGAAAGGATTTGCCTTTATACAACATAGTATAGTAAAAAAGTACAATGTTGAATAGAGCTGAATTTAAGCCTAAATAACTAGAGAGGTAAGAGAGGTAAAATGAAAGGAAATAAACTTGGTCAAGGCAACACATTTAAGGAAGTCTCGTGATGGACTAGGCCAACCGGTTGGGTCTTCATTGTTAAAATTTGATGTGTATTGTGTCTCTCTCCACCCACACCTCATCTCCTGCATGTGTGAATGTGTTTAGGTTTATTAAGAAAGACTATGAATTGCATAGACAAACATTATTTATATATATATATATATTTTTGGAAGAGTATTTTATAACTGAACTTGGTTCAAGGAATGTAAAAGCATATTGTGTAATATATACAATATACAATCAGGTAAACATATCAAATTGATTTTAAGAATTCCATACTATTCAGATAAAAACAGTACACAGCAGGTAAGTAATTACCCATTGATAAGTGATCTAGCATTTTGACCTCCAGATATGTCTTCATATGATAAAATTTTTCTTTTTCCTTTGGCAGATTATTTTTAACCTTTGCTTTCTCCATCAACTAAAATGACACAACAAAATAGCAGCGTAACTGAATTCATACTCTTAGGACTGACACAGGATCCTATGAGGCAGAAAATGGTCCTATGAGGTGGTGCTACCAAAATTATAAGAATAATTACTCTTATAGTTAAAGTAGAGTGTTCACTGTAAGTCCAAATCTTCTTTGTATTCTATGTAGGAACAGTAGTGGGAAATTTGCTTATTATTGTGACCATCAAGTCCAGCCGAACACTTGGGAGCCCCATGTACTTCTTCCTGTTTTATTTGTCCTTTGCTGATTCCTGCTTTTCAACTTCCACAGCCCCTAGACTCATTGTGGATGCTCTCTCTGCAAAGAAAATCATATCTTATAATGAGTGCATGACTCAAATCTTTGCACTACATTTATTTGGCTGCATGGAGATCTTTGTTCTCATCCTCATGGCCGTTGATCGCTATGTGGCCATCTGCAAGCCCTTGCGGTACCCAACCATCATGAGTCGGCAGGTCTGCGTCATTCTGATTATTCTTGCATGGAATGGGTCTTTTATACATTCTATGGCTCAGATTATCCTGGCCTTGAAGTTGCCTTTCTGTGGACCCAATCTGATTGATCATTATTGCTGTGATATGCAGCCCTTGTTGAAGTTTGCATGCATGGATATTTATGTGATCAACCTGCTGGTGGTGTCTAATAGTGGGGCCCTTTGCTCATTCAGTTTTGTGATTCTGATGATCTCATACATTGTCATCTTACATTCTCTGCGAAACCACAGTGCAGAAGGGAGGAAAAAAGCTCTCTCCACTTGCACTTCCCACGTCACTGTAGTCATCTTATTCTTTGGTCCCTGTATGTTCATCTATACACGTCCCCCAACCTCTTTCCCCATGGACAAGATGGTGTCCGGAATTTATATTATTGGGACACCCTTCCTCAACCCCCTCATCTACACACTGAGGAATGCAGAAGTGAAAAATGCCATGAGAAAGCTGTGGCATATCAAAACTACCTCTGAAAGCAAAAGATGAACTGTGGGCCTTGGTTGAGTACTTGCTGAGTCACGGTTTAACTGAATCTCTACAGATCAATATCATAGTGTGTATCCTGACTCCCCCATGCATTCAACTACAATGCACCTGACCTCCTTACTTTTTTCTGTGTTTCTGTCCTCAAACTAGTAGCTTTCCTAACATCCTCAGCCTGACTCCCTCTTTTCCTGAGAGTTCAATACTGGCATTGCTGAATGTGAAATACACCTCACTATACAGTATACTCTCTAGTTTGATAGAAAGAAAGAATATATATATATATATAATCACAGCAGCTCAAATATGTGAGGATTCATAAATAAAGTGTAGCTGGTTTGCTATGATTTCTAATTCCCTCCAGAACACTTTTGAAATAAGGTGTCCTGCTTTCTCTTGATCACTTTCAAAGCAAAGGAACTCACTCTGTGTATCAAGAAGTTCATTTCATTTTATCATTAATTTAGCCTTGAAATGTTCCATACTACTGTATCAAAGACTTTTTAATATAATGATATTCAGTTATAGTTCTGATTGCTTTCTTTAGCTCTTAAGATAAATGAGACTTATGTATGGGATTTTTTAAATGTAGTGTTACAAAGGCCTTGACATATTCAGCTACTTATATGATTGGTGTGTAGGGACTACAACAATGAAATTCTGTAACTCTCAGAATTAAAAAGTAACAGAATGCACATTTTCAAGACTAAATAATAATTAAAAATACACTAGAATTACTGCATACCTTTTGAGATAGAAGTACTTAAAGGTACTTGAAAATAACCTGGTTTGATGAGAAAAAAAGTGATGACATTATTCTATGTGAAGTTGGAATATGTGAGTGAAATGAAGGAAAGCACCATAGGCATCCGGGTAGTGATCACTGACACTTGTCTTCAGTCAGTGGACTTAGAGAGAACCCACTGTTTTAGCCCATTATTGTCACCTTCTTTCTCTACCTGTACATTCCTAATAAAGGTGTCATATAGATTGACATGTTATAATTGCTAACATGTGACATGTGACTGAACAGATTAACAGCTGTACCTTGGCTGTGCATGCAAGAGGTTGTATCATGATCAGTTAACATTTGTTGATTTCAGTGTATTGAAGTACCACCTCCTTAGTAATTGTTATAAGGTTTCATTTCATTTCTAGGACTGTTGCAACTAATTCATTGGAAAACTTTAGCAATACCAGTATTGTCTTGACAAAGATTTTTTTATTACTCCACTCTAATTTCATCAAGAAAAAATTTTTTTCCTTGTATTGTTTTTCCTTGTATGAGCTTAGTATTGTATTGCAATAAGGCTTCCTAGTCTCCATTTTTCTTACAAAGCAAAAATAGTTATCAGGCTCATAGTGTCCAACAATGAACAGTACTTAAATGGAGTTCAATGATTTTTTAGTTCATTAATCAATTTACTCCTTACCTTATTACAGCTAACCCCAATTCCTGTTTAAGAGAAGACATAGTCTTTACTATATATATAAGTGTTTTTACTAAAACAAATTGCTTTAAAGATAACAGATAGAAAAGTAGGTTGGTAAACAACTTAAACTGGGTGCAACTCTAAATATCCAAAACCCCACTAGTCAATGAAAGAGACCCAGATCAAGGGCATCTAAGTGATTTATTGGCATCAGAAAGTAATAGGCTGTGTATTAGTGGACAGCTGTGCTGACGCCCACTCAGTCAGGGTTGTGTCCCCACTTGAGAGCAGACTGAGAGGGGGTGTCTCTCTCTGGAGACACAAAGGGGAGTGGCAAGAGGAAGAATCGTCATCTCAATAGAAAAAAATATGAAAGGTGAGAGATTACAGATCACCCAGTCTGTCTTTCTGAAGGTTTATGTGTGTATATCTTGCAGCTCATAAAAATATATGGTCCAGCATTTTCAATTCCAAATCATTGTGAAATAATTTTCCATAAGTTTCAGCAAAATGTTCATTCTTCAGGTAGGATTCTGGTTTGTTTTCTCATCATAATAAATATTTCCTCCACAGTAGCTCTTAAAATCTCATCCTGAAATCGTAGGGAAATGATATTATGGTCACTTCAGTTAACAAAAAGTGACAGGGGTGGTTGAGTGCAGTCCAGTGAGAGAATTGTTGTCATCATTGCAACACATAATATTATATATTCTAGACCATATTTGCTCAATTTGTCAATTAATGGAAGCAATAAAGGACAAAAGGAAGAAATATTATGGACCCATTCTGCAAGTGGTGGACTAGCGACAGCAATGAAAAGCATAGAAACTTGAAGACATGTACAATAAACTAAATGGTGACCTGTATTTTTATTCAAATTGTAGTTGCATAGCAGAAATTGTCTGAATATAAAATGAAAACCAGTTACCTAGTTAATTCAGATGTTGGATATTAAGTGAAATGCTGTTTTACATTTGTCTTATTTTTCACTTTAGTTGTATTACATAGGTTTGGTGTGTAGATTATTAAATCTTCAGTCTTGCCAATGTACTGTAAAAAATCAATCACCCAGTACAAGCATAGACATTATCCTCACCAACTTTTAAAAGTATTCCCTTAATGCATATCAAAAGCTTTCATAAGGTTCTCGGGAAATGGATTCACTTTCTCTCCTTCCATAACTTTCTGAAGATAGAGGTTATTGCTAACCTGTCTCAGCATCACTGTCCACATATATAGAGCTGATATAGTTTTATAGAATTCAGAAATATAACTAGGAACACCGGGAACAATATGAAACACTGCAGTCCCATACATGGTTCATACACATAACACAGTTTATGCACATAACACGGTTCAAAAGTTCCTTTGCCTTTTTGAGTGAGAAATTCTGAAATTTCCATACAAACAAGGTATATGAAGAAAGGAAACAAATGTTTATCACAGTTCAGATGTAATGGAAATGATCAGGATACATTCAGTTTTGGGAATCTGTTAAGTAAAAAGAAAGAAAATTAAGAAACAGTTGGTTGTTGTTGAGCAGACCTTAACTCTGATCACTTCCCTGAAGTTTCCCTGGATTTTAATCAAAACGTAGTCAAATTATTGCCTTATTTCCTTGGGAGTATTGCATAAAAATGCTGCAATCTCTTTTGGTGGTGCTACCAAAATTATAAGAATAATTACTCTTATAGTTAAAGTAGAGTGTTCACTGTAAGTCCAAATTTTCTCCTCGTGGTATCAGAATATGGTCTTTTAAACACTTACCTTAAATGAATCAGACAAAACAAGTTTATTTTAGGATGGCAGGTTTTTCAGAGTTAAGAAATTACATTTCACTGGGATATGCTATCAAAAACTGGGCCATTCCTTGATAATAATACAGGAAAATATAAAAGCATGAAAATGGACTCAGTATAGTCCACTGCAATTTGAAGATTTCATTAACTCTTAACTTACTGTTCTCATAATCAACTGGAATTCTGCTTGTGATTCATATAGAATTAAACTAAAGTGAGCTTAGGTATTTTTATAGTAATGAAATTATCTTCTGTGGCAAGAAAAAATATAGACATAACTATGAAATTAAACAGAATACACTTAAGTAGCATGTAACTGCCCTAAAACACAGTTGGCATACAGTTCTTCAGAACAGGTGGCATGGTTAACTCACTTGCTTAATCATGTCTAAGTGGCTATAAGAGTAGCTTTAGTAACCTTGGGAAGACTTGTCTCCTCAGATATTCATTCTGCTGAATCTTTTCCAGTAAGATAAAATAAAATGCAGAGACTTAAAAACCAATTATTCAAACACATTTGGGACAATTCTCTGAAATTATTTTGAAAATCTCAACATGTTTTAGGATATGTATATTGGTTTAAGTTTTAGACATAGATTTACATAGAAAGTGGACCTTGAAATATCAATTAACCAGGTCATATAAGCCCAAAATGTGTACATGTAAGGTCAGTTAATTAACTCCCCTCCATCGTCCACAAACCTGTATGTAAGACATTTCCATTGGACATCCTTCAGACACGCTATTTCATTGATCTCTTGTATACATTTATAAAAATATCATAGTGCTTTGATTTCTGAAGCTTCATAATCTACCATTAAATCAGGTTGGGTAAGTTCTTCAAGTTTGGCCTTTTATAATGTTGTGGGGGCTAATGTGTATGCCTTTCATTTCAATTAATGTTAGAAAAATCTTTTAAGTTGCAATAAAAAAGACTGCTCTAATATTGGGGGTGCTTTCTTAGATAGCAATTTCAGGTGTGTAGACAGACTTCTTAATGAAGTCCAGTCATCTGATCTGTAAGCATGGAATTATTCTCTATTATTAATGTCTTCTTAAATTTCTCTCTAAAGACTTCTGCAATTCATATATGCTGTTACATATATCTTGTTGTGAGATTTATCCTTAAATATTTCATGTGTTGATTCTACTGCACATGACATCTACAAATTTCATTTTCTGATTAATTTTTACTAATGGAAAAAAAATTCACTCAGACTGGAAGAAACAAACCTGTTTTTTTACAAGTGATATTACTATCTATGGAAAAAATCTAAAGAATGTATTACAATACTTCAAAAATGGGTAAGTATCAGAGAAATGGTGGTGGTATAAAATGAATTCAGATGTAATTGCTCCTTTTTTTGTTTAACATTTATGTAGAGTAAGTGTGGTTTCTTCTTTAAGTTTTTGAAGAATTCACTAGTGAAGCAATATATAAAGGGGTAAATGGGGAAAGAGATTTCTATTTTGTAGTTTTGAGACAGAAAGTTCAGTTCTTTAAGATAAATAGATATTGAGATTATCTATTAATTATTTTTAAATGAGTTGTGGTAGTTTATATCATTTGAGAATTTTGTACATTCTATATATTTTTCAATTAATTGGCCATATTATATTCAAAATAATACCTTATTATTCTTTTAAAACCTGTTGTAAGTTTAGTAATAGAGCCTTTAACATTAAAAACCAAAAGCCTTTGATAATAAATGATCTAGGTGTTCTATGTCTTACCTATGTCTATATCTTAAGAGATCTTAGTTCAAATCCT